TAGATTCTTCCATATTTCCAAACATTCGTTCCACACTCCTTGAGTTCTCAATCAAATCTACTGATTATCCTTGTTATTACAGTACTCTCAGTTTCCCAAATGATCTGAGAGTCTTCCAAACACTAGTTGTCTTGAAACTTCAAGGCAATATTACTCTTGATGTTGTTGATTCTCCGGTTTGTTTCCAGTCTTTGAAGAGTTTGTACCTCAAATGTGTGAATTTCAAGAGTAAAGAATCTTTTTCCAAACTTTTATCAGCTTGTCCTGTTCTTGAAGATCTCTTCCTCCAAAGACTTTGCAGTGTCGGCCGTTTTTTGTTCACCATATCAGTCCCTTCTCTACAGAGATTAACCTACAATAAAGAACAATGCTATTATTCTAACGATGAAGCGATACTCGAGATTACTGCTCCTTCTCTGAAGTACTTAAATATCTTCGATCGCGTAGGTGTTTTCAGTTTTATCGAAGATATGGCTAAGTTGGTGGAAGCAAGTGTTAAAGTTAATCTGTCAAAGAATGAGAAGCTTCCAAAAGTTCTTACTTCGGTTGAGCATCTTTCGCTAGATTTATATCCTTCAATGGTAACAACATCTTTCTTCTCTCGCAAGCTAGGTTTTGTTTTTCTTTGAAGATAGCATTTGTTTTCAACTTTGAGTTTTCTCGTGCAGGTTTTTCACCTTAATGATAGATTCATCTCCAAGCAACTTCTTCATCTGAAATTAGACATTTACGACAACTTTCGGTCGAATCTACTTCTGAGTTTGTTGAAAGATTTACCTAATCTACAATCTCTCAAGCTCAACCACGTAAACTCTCACAATATCCCTTCATAGTAATCTGTTTTAAGAGCTTTGAATTGATCTAATACAATTGCCTTTATGTTTCTCAGACACATCCCAACTATACTGTCGAGGATCAACCGTGTTCAGTCTCTGGACCGAGCTCTGTTCCTGAATGCTTGAGCTTCCATCTCGAGACTTTTCAATGGATAGGCTACGCAGGAACAATTGAAGAGACAGAAGCTGCGGTTTACGTTCTGAAAAACGCTCGTTGTTTAAAGAATGCTACAATATCTCTGTATTCAAGGGGCACAGAGAATGATCTGATGATGATTAAGGAGTTGGAATCTATGTCTAAAGGTTCAACCATGTGTCATCTTTTAGTTAAACTTTAGATCTTTCTCCTAGAAATGGGTCACATCAAGGATTTCAACTTTTAGCAAAAGACAATTTCTTATTTGAATCTGAATTTGCACCAGAAGTATTAAACTTTTCCCTGTTGGTAAAAAGTTCTTTTAGCATTTCGATTGTATTAACTCTGGAACAGAGGAGTTTCTTTTCTTATCTAACAATAAGTCATGGAGTGCCAATTAGTTCATTACTTGCAAGTATGTGGATTTAGCATCAAGTAATTGCTGCATATGAAGATTAGTAACTAAAACAATGGTTTATCATTTATTGATCTGCATAAACATCGGAAGATTATTACATCATTGACGTGATTGACCACATCTTATTTTCCAAAAGAAAAGTACTTGCAGTAATATACTACTAGCTAGTACTTATTTTGGGACAAGTCTTCATGCATTTCACTAAAGAGACACGCTAGTTTAATCGTGATACGTAGGTAGAGTTTTCCGGGAAACAAAGCGGGCCAACAATTATCAGAAAGACCATTAAGCGTTTTGCAACAAGAATGTCTCATGCCACCAAAATGTCCTTTGAACATCCCACCAATTGCTTCAAAACAACCTTCAACACTCTTGATCGACTTGACACATTCTTTGAGATGTAACCCTTGTGGATCTTCTTCTTTCATCACCATCGCCTTCTTTTCTTTGTTGTTTGAATGTGATAGCTGATTAGCCGATGAAGACATGATTATCAAGCCAAAGAAGATAATAGCTACAAGAATTGAGTTTTTTTTAGCCATGACAAAGAAAAAGATGATATACTTTTGAGTGTTTAGAGTTACTTTTTCTTGTGAACTTGTGTTTACAATGATCTCAAATAAGGTTTATTTATAGTAGAGTGTGAGGTACAACGAATTCTTGATTTTAGGAGTAAATGTCTGCAAAATTATGAAGTTTTATTTATTTTGTACTTTTTGTGTCTACATTATAAAATAATTAAAAACTTGTTTTAGGCATAGATTAAGCTCTACTTTACTTATTTCATTCTCTCCCATCATGAAATTATGCAATTTTGGATCTTGTGAATAATTAAGATTCATCTAATGGTCATCAAATCCCTCGCAAATAGCAAAATCGTATTGCATGGTTTATGCTTAATAATTAATATGAAGAAATTATGTTGTAATTTGCATGATGTCATAGTGGTGATATTGTTGCTAAACTTACCAAAACTGGTATTTTCTAGGAGGTGGTAACACTAACAGTAAATTCAAAACTCTTTGATTACACACGCATAAAGAAAAAAAAATTATTCAAAGAAACAGAGGAATTATGGATTCCTATGTGAGTAACATAAATATTATGATAGTTTTACTTTTTCCTTTTTCCTTTTTTATTTTTCTGAAAATTCATTAAGATTAACAAAATAGTAATTAAAATATCTATAAAATATATATATATATATATATATATATATATATTAATGTTAACTAGCATATGTATATATATAAGAGTCGAAGATTAAAAGAATACAAAAACTAGGGTTTTACTTCTCTAACGATTGAGCGATGAATGCTCCAAGATTGGGAAGTGAAGAGTTTTCATATTCGGATAGGATTAGTCAATTACCTGATGATTTGCTTTTACGAATACTCTCATTCATTCCTACAAGCGATGCCATCTCCACAAGCTTATTATCTAAACGATGGAAGTTTTTGTGGAAGATGATGCCAACACTTGATCTTGATGAAGACTCTTGTCGCAATCTTGGCTCCCTTAGATTTGACGAAGTTTGTTGCAGCTTCTTGCCATCACATGAAGCTCGGGTTCTTACCAGTTTGAATCTCAAACTTATGAAAAAATCTAATGATATAGACCGTCTGTTATCAAATATTCAATCTATTCTTCATGAGCTCACAATCACTTCTTATAGTTGGAGTCGTATCAGCTTCCCAAGGAATCTTACTGTCTGCCAGACACTTGTCGTGATGAAACTCCAAGACAAGGTTCTTGTGGATGTTTTTTCCCCGCCGGTTTGTTTCCGGTCCTTGAAAACTTTGCACCTCACACGCGTGAAATACTCTTGCCAAGAATCTTTCAGAAGACTTTTATCAGTTTGTCCTGTTCTTGAAGATCTATATCTCTTCATAGATAGAGTTCGCTATGAATGTCTTCCTTCGTTCACCATATTTGTCCCTTCCTTACAGAGATTATCTATATGTGAAGAGTCATATAGCAGGACGTTATTTGAAATAAGTGTTCCTTCTTTGATATACTTAAAAATCGCGGCTCGCTATGGTTGGTTTAAGTTTTTTGAGGATATGCCTAAGTTAGTTGAGGCACATGTTGAAGTTAATCCATATGAAATTAATAACCTTCTGAGGTGTCTCACTTCTGTTGAACGTCTTTCGATTGAATTTTTCTCTTCAATGGTAAATCTTAGTTTTTATCTTTCTTCTCGCAATCATTTTATTTCTCTTTGGCTCTCTTTGAAGATATGTATTTTCTTTTTACCGGCATGCAGGATATAGTTCTTACCGATAGAATCTTCCACCGGCTTCTTTATCTTGAGCTGCATATGCACAACGGACTTCAGGAGAATCAAATTCTGAGTTTGCTCAAACATTCCCCTAATCTACAAGCTCTCAAGCTCAACGAGGTAAATCAAAATGTTGTCGTGGTTTTACATTAGCTTAAATAGTTTTCATTTGTATGTTCTTTACCTAACTCAGATGCCGTAATGTTTCTACAGAAACCTTCGTGTTCTGACAGGGATCAACCGATATTTGTTCCTAAACCGAATTCTGTTCCTGAGTGCTTGACCTTCCATCTTGAAACTCTTGAGTGGCGAGGCTATGCAGGAAGACCGGAAGATAAAGAAATTGCTGTGTACATTTTGGGAAACGCTCTTCGTCTAAACACGGCTAAGATCTCTCGATATTTCTCCTCCAGCCGCTTCCGTCACCGCCACCACCAGAAGAAGGATCGAAAAATCGTGAAGGAGTTAAAATCTTTATCTAAGGCTTCAACTTCATGTCAGCTTGTAATTCAACGCCAGTATTATCCATAGAAATTAATAGAATGTTTGTCTCAACTCTCAAAAATTGTAACTTTTGATGTGAATTTAAGTATTCAATGTAGTTTAACAGGAATGTAAATCATAAGTAGGTTGAAAGTGTTAGTATAAGCCTATTGAAATTTTATTTAACTCTCTGAAACAGAAATCTCTTTGTCTTTGATGAGAAGAAAAAAACATAGAAGTTAACTTGATAAATAGATGTGTTTGTAATAGTAGATGATGTACCTTGCTAGTCAAGTTTTGTTAGTTTTAGCTTCTGGGGTATGTGAATCCAAGAAAATCAATATAAATAATAAAGAGAAAGAGCAAAAAAAAAAACAATGAAAGTGATAATTATTGGGATATATTTTATATTTTGTATTTGTTCGGATATATTTAATTATTGGGATATATTTTTATATTTTGTTTTTGTTGGGATATATTTTTAGATAAAGTTATAGTTGTTAGGATATATAACGAGAAGAGGCAAAATGGGATTTTAACTGTTATATTTTGTTTATTAGTTTAATATACTTCTTAATTACGTGAACCAATCAAAACAAAATATATTTTTTTGTCTAGATATTATTAGGGTTAGGATAAATCCTCACATATATTTAGACTTATCTTGTATCTTATCTCATTAGGAATTTGTATAATCCATCCATGTATATATACAATGGTAAACCTCTTCACAACAATACAATACATAAGCGTTCTATAATTTTGATTCACGTTACTAGTTCAAGGGTTTGTGAGAGATCATTGTTCTAGTTGAACTATATACGTTCAAGTGTTACTATGGGATCGATGGTTCTTGTTCCCGTGTTTGATGGAAATAATTATGAGAATTGGAGTCTCCAAATGAAAACGCTTTTCAAAATTTATGATCTATGGGATGTTGTGGAGACTGGTATTCAACAAGAACCGTTGCAGGTACCTTCACCATATTCTTATGTATTCGAAGGAGTAAGTTATGATGCATCATCATCCGCTGCGGCCGCTGAAAACTATTCAATCTTGTGGAAACAATGGATGGAATGGAAAGATGTGAACGCACTTTCCCTTATCCAAAGTGGATTAAGCATTGAGGTTTTTTCATGGATAGCTTATGCTACATCATCAAAAGAAGCATGGGACCTTTTGATGGTGAGATCGGTAGGTGGTCCTATATTTCAAGCTAGAAAGCTAGTTGATCTGAAGAAAGAGTACAACAACATGACAATGAGCGATGCGGAAACGATTCATGAATTTACTGAAAAACTATTGGAGCTTGTGTTTCGTATGAAGTCTTGCGGGTGGAAGGTCGAAGATAAAGTATTGGTGAAGAAGATTCTTTCCTCTTTGCCTCCAAGATTCGATAAAGTCTTAGTGGAGGTTGCAGAAAAACTTTCTATTAGTGTCCTTATCGATTGCTTGCTTGTCCATGAATACAATATGAGGCCTGATCAAGAGTCTTTTGAAGAATCGGTCATTGAGAGTGTTAATGTGGAAGAAAGTTTTCAAGGAGAAGCTGAAATATTATACTCTTTGAATGAGATTACTCAAATCCAAGTGGCAATGATGGAGAGACAAAGTGAAGTGTTGTCGTTGGTGCAACAGAATCAAAAGATGGTAATGCAGATGCAGAAACAAATGATGATGTTAATGCAGCAGCAAGATCAGATGTCAGTACACTCCGAATCTTATGAGAATCAGGAGGAGGAGATGACAAAAGTGATCGAATCTATGAAGAAACATAACTTGAGAAAATGACTTGTTTTTGTTTGGTTTTGGTTTTGGTTCTGGTTTTGGTTTCTCGTGCTTTGTTTGGTTTTCTTGAAAGTGATTAATTATTGATCATGAATTCATCTATAAAATTCTTCTTTGCATAAATTGTGGACTTCAATTTTTGGTAATTGTGAGACGTCTTACTCAAAACAGAGACTTATATTTTTGTCTCCTCTTAGAACAGAGAAAAACAGAGTAGTATCGGTTTCGTACCGACACAAACTCAAGATTGTATCTCCGGTTATTGCCAATGCAACCGAGATCTTTTAAGTTCTTGACATTCTCCAATTATATAGCGCCATCGTTTACTAGAAATCTCTAGTTTTGCTTGTTAAAACGAAAAATTAAAAACAAATTGAATATAATTTTGGGGCTTAGTCTCTTCCGATCTTGTTGAAATTTGATCCCTTTTTGAAGATTTTCATGAAATTGAATAATTTGGCTTTTTAGGGTTTAGTTTTTTTTGTGAAGAGAAGGTGTGTGTAATTTTGTGGATGTTGTAGTTGCTTATGAATTTTTTTGACTTCATCTTCATTTGTCTCTTCTAAATTGAGATTTCTAAAGGAGGGATCACGAGCTAATTCAGAAACAGCCAGAACAAGAAAGAACCATATAGCAGATGCAACTGGTGTTTTTGGTGTTTAATGGAGACGACTATGAGAGTATCAAAATGAAGACGTATTCATGTCCCGTGATCTGTGGGAGAGGGAAAACTTGGATCAGCTATGGAAGAAGAATTAGTTAAGAGACAGAAAGATGTTTTAGATGCTTCAAATGTCGGTTAACTAACATGTTCTTTTTCCGGATAGCAAGAGATACTTCGTCGAAGCATGCATGGGAACTTTTTGAAGGCATAATTTGGAGAAACTGAAAGGATTATTAATCTGAAAAGGGTTCTCTTGGGATGATGTATGAGAATTTGATAACGAAAGAAGAAAGTGTTAATGAGTTTATTAAGAAAGTGATGGAGCTTGAACCGGTTAAAGTTCTTTTGAAGCATCATTCCTGATGATAAAATCATATTTAAGATTTTCAGAAGTTTCCCTTAAGGTTTCATGAGTCTCTATCAATCATTCGCTCGTCAAGTGACCTTACAAGCATTGAGGTTGTTGAGATCTTGCGGGCAGACAAATGGAAGGTAAGGTTTAAGAGTGATGAAGAAGTTTCCGGGAGCAAAAAATGGTGCGAGTTTTGCAAGAAGAATGGTCACAAAACCTCGGAATGCTTTTTTGAAAAAACAGGTAAGGAAGACGAGAGAGGGAGAGTTTTATCGATGTTTTCCCGCGAAAGAACTAGCAAGAAATCAACAAAAATATTTGAATTAGTTTAAAAAGTATGTTGACAAAATTGTTGATTTAGAGACCACAAGAATGTGATGTGTGCTGTTATTGTGGATGAAGTGCATTTGCATAATGTTCTAATTTGATAGTTTTTTTCCTCAAAAATATTTTGATATTGTGAGAAACATCTTTAGATTATTTTTAGTAAATGTTTTTTAAAAAAAATTTGACCTACCTCACTAAAAACAAACTTCATTGGACCAGAATTAAGTATCCATATTATATTTGTTGGTAGGATCAAATCAACAATAATATATTATCTAAGTGATGAAATATGAAACCTCATCGTTGTCCTCATATGAATCAACATTAAAAGATTATTAATTAGTCGAATCTTAAAAATGAATCCCAGTCATATTATCTTTATGTATGTAGAAGATCAGATACAATCAACATAAATAGATTATATGTATCATAGTACATCAACATGACTAGCCCATCATATCATATTATATGTATGTGGGATAGAATCAACATGAATCCCCATTTAAGTATTCAAATTAGAAATGATCGTATGCTACCACTCTAAAGTTAACTTTAATTTATATGATGAATATGAGTACCCCATATATGATATGATCATATATGAATCCTCATCATTGTTCTCCAATAGTTGCTCTTCATTCCGAACTTAGCAATAGAATCTCCATATTGCTTTTTACCAATTCTAACCATACACAATTAATAGTTAAATGCATGTTGGGTAGTGCTTTGTCTACTAGTAATTAATAACATTATCGATTACAATGTATTTGAGCAAATCAGGCAATCTTTAAATAAAAATATGTATATGATGACTCTTCCGTCCAAACTAATATATTGAAAACATTATAAGATCCAAATTATATCATTATTTATATCAAACAAAACATAAGAAATAAATAAGACTTGTCTTTGTTCATGTAAACAAGACCCCTTTGTTGTTTGTTTCTATATTTTACAAAATTGTAAACTATATTTTTGTTATATTTATTTTCCACATTTTTATTAGGTCATCCAACTACCCACCTCCCCAAAACTATTGGAGGATCCAAGTCCTCTCTCTCTCAACCATATATCTATATTTCTTTTGCAAAAGGATATCCTTTATTATTTAATACATATAGATTCCATTATTGTTTTGGCTACCTCATTCTCTCTTCAAATCACAGATTCTATAAAGCATAATACGAAAGAAAAAAAAATGTAGACTATGTGAAAAGATAAATGAAGATTTTCATATTTGTGAGACAAATTAATTAGATTAGAATCAACATTTTATAGTCCATATTAGTGACAAATTTCCACTTATAAAGACATATTTTCCTCTTTTGTTTTTTTATACGTAAGCTCGTCTTCTTATTGGCTAAAAGTAGAAAACACCAACTTGGACAACGTAATTTAAATTATAAAACCCTCCAATAAATAAAACTTGGTTTATCCAATCATCTTATTTCTCTGTGCTCTCCACCATTTTACATAAACCCCAAAATCTCTCTTCATCATTCATCAACATCATCTCTCTGTCCCTCCTTCTCTTTCTCATTCATTGCAATGGGCAGAAGATGCTCACACTGTGGAAACGTAGGACATAACTCAAGAACATGTTCTTCTTACCAAACAGGAGTAATTAGACTCTTTGGTGTTCATCTAGACACCACAAGCTCTTCTCCGCCACCTCCTCCTCCTTCGTCGCTTTTGGCCGCTGCAATAAAGAAAAGCTTCAGCATGGATTGCTTGCCGGCATGTTCCTCCTCTTCCTCTTCTTTCGCCGGTTATCTCTCCGATGGTCTCGCCCACAAAACACCCGATCGTAAAAAAGGTTACAACTTTGACTTATATATTATGCCAATCTTTGAGTTTTATATATATATATATATATATATATATATATATATATATATATATTTTTTACAATAGGATAATGACCTTTTTAAAGTAATCAAAAACGTTCTGGGTCTTATTAGGCCATAATCAATTTGGATCGGAGATCAAAACATGTTAAATTGGTCATCGGTGTGATTGGTTTTGACATAAAGGTTGTACGTACGTCTAGCCAAGTCGGACCATTTCCTAAAGCATGCAACCGCTATATATATATATGAAGATTTAGAGTGGCAAGAAAATGATGTACCTATAACGCGATCTTTAGCCTTGGATTTTGTTCAAGTTTTTCTAAAATAATAATTTATTTTTTTGTGTAATTAGGGGTTCCATGGACGGAGGAAGAGCACCGGACGTTTCTAATTGGATTAGAGAAGCTTGGAAAAGGAGATTGGAGAGGAATCTCTAGAAACTACGTCGTCACAAAATCTCCGACACACGTAGCAAGTCATGCTCAAAAGTACTTTCTCCGGCAAACCACCACTCTCCATCACAAGAGACGCCGCACCAGCCTCTTTGATATGGCAAGTTCCAATCTTTTCTCTATACATGCATGAAAAAAAGAATTTAAACTCTATGTATGAAACTTTTATATTAAAAAATCAAAATGTTTTTTCAAAGAAAATATATATCCAACAAAAGTCACATCTTCAAAAGTTCAAAAAGAATATTTATGCTGTTTTAAAAATTTTCTTTCCAAACCAAAAATTCAAGATTTTAAGTTTAATCTAAGCTTTATTGTGATAATAAATATTATATATATATGTGAACATATAATTTCTTGCTGAATCAGAAGATGAAAATGATTTGAATTGTAAAATTTATATATTCAACAGGTTTCGGCCGGCAATGTTGAAGAAAATAGTACTATTAAGAGTATGTGTAATGATCATATTGGGTCGACCTCAAAGGTTGTTTGGAAACAAGGATTACTTAATCCTCGTCTAGGATATCCAGATCCGAAAGTATCAGTATCCGGGTCCGGTAACTCCGGTGGACTCGATCTTGAGCTGAAGCTTGGGTCCATTCAATCTCCTGAATCGAACACTAGACCTATAAGCGTTACGTGAATATATATAACACGTTATGAGTTTCATTAGTATAATTCAAATGTCTACATATATAATATATTATCGATCCTATCTAATTTGATTTTGATCCAACGTTAGTTACTTTGATAATTTTGTGAATATTTTTTTTGGTTTTTTCAGTGTGAGATTTTTTGTCTTGGATCCATACTTATTTCTGTAAATTTATCTCGGTAAAACTATTATATTTAGGGTATATTTCTAGCGCTCGTAAAAGTTTCAATATTCCTATTATACTTTTAAAAAGAAAGTTTCTTACAATAGAACGGATAAGACAATATTGTATATAGTACAACTTGTTTGAAGTTTGTTGTTTTCTAGTTCATTAAATTTTTCAATATTCGTTTTTTTTTCTTCTTATTATTCCCTATAACATCATAACTTATAGTATTGGCTTTCAAAATTTAGAATGCTTGATCAACATTTCTAAATGCAAGATTTTGAATATGGATCATTTATCTTAGTCTTCTGTTGATAAAACAATAAACACGAGTTTCAAACATAGTGTAAAGATAATTTTAAGAACCGATATTGGATCCACAATAGCTCAATAATATTTGAATCCACTTTAACACAAAACTAAGGGTCTTTCTCAGATTTGTTATAATTTTGTTGTTGGCGAAAAAGAAAAAAGAAACAAAAAAGTAGTTCACATTTTAAACATTTCCATATTTAGTGCAAGTTGTCTAATAATTACATTACTATTGGAAATGACCCAAAGTGACAGGACGACAAGGTATTATATTATTAATGATTTTGATATATACTTTCTCTTTTTCACAAAAATCGTTGTAAGACATTGTTTTTGTTCTACATATTTTGTATTTTAAACACAAATTTTGAAATCGACAACAATAAATCGTGTTACTGCGTAGTAAAGATTATGCTATGAGCTTGGCGACGCAAATGATATAAGAAATATTTAATCTACTAATAAATAAGTGTATTTTTTTTTCTAGGATCGGTTTTGCATCAGAACTAACAGATTTCAAGCACTATAGAAATCTTTTTATATCTTTTAATACTATGCATATCCCCGAGAGATCAGTTTCCGTGCTGATAGACTTGCGAAATATGCAAAAGCACGTGGTTTCTGCTTTTCTCATGTAAGTCTGTCGGTTCCCGATTGGCTCTTTCGAAGAGAGTCTCTTCCGATAATTTAAAGTATGAGATTTGAAGGAAAATAAAATATTTTTTAAAAGTTAGAAACTCATGATTTAACAAAAACCACAAAATGAAAAAAGACGAAAGTTGAAAAATCCACACCTAAAACCACCAAAGTTGAAGTCCAATAGAAGAACTTGAATCGCATTATCTTTGGTAAATATGTCAATGAATTTCGTAATTATTTAAAATAGGTATATTTGTTTCTCTATAGGGAACCATTGGCTAATACTGAAGAAGGTCTGAACATAAATTACTATTGGTGTGAGTGGTCCCTTGTTATCATGTCAATACACCAATAATCACTTTTAAGTTACAAAGACATTTCACCCAACCCCTTTTGGCGGGTCCTATGCTTATCAATGACTAAAATATATGAGGCTTCAAATTATTTGATTTTTACTCAAAAATAAACCAGCACTCTATATATCTTATCAAAGATCCAAATCATGTGGTCAATAAAATTAATGCCAATAAAATATCCTATTTAGATTTGTTTCGACATATGTTTGGTTTCTATTATATATATTTGTGCAAAGGTTTCTATCATATAAGTTATCTAAAAGATCATTTTGTTTATATATAAGCTATTTCCTATATGTAGTAGTTTTGTAGGGAATAAATTTCTACACAAACTGTTTTTTACTGTCTTTTTTTGCCACTGTTTTTCACTGCCACACACAAAATTTGACAACTTGAAGAGCTAGATTTTTATAGATTTGGAGATTATATAAAATATTTGTAAGTTATAATGGTAGAAATTGCGAAAGAGACTTTTTGTATATAAAAAAAAAGTTTCTTGGAATGAGACTCCAGCATGTGACGTAGATCGAGAGACAGAGAAGGATAATTATGGTTCCTGTCTCTTAGGCGAGAATGTATTAATTTACCTTTCGGACGAGTTAGTTGTTGAATTCATCATTTTCAAGTTACCATTTCTTTAAAAAATATTTATAGCATTGAATTTTGGTTCTAACAACCGCCAGATATGACTAAGAAATATTCCTGTCTATGTATCAGTATGAATGTTATTTTCATATGCATAAAAGAGAGTATTAGACTGCAAGTAAACTTGAACAAAATTTATCTTCCTTAGCATTATAGTTAGACTATAGTCTTTAATTTTCTTTGACTCTTTCTTATGACGTATAGCATATTCACTATTGTTTTCTAAATCTTCTCTCATATTGATAAATTTAAATAAAAGTATAATTATTGATAAAATTCCACACTGCAAAAGCTAAAGAACATAATTTATAAAACGAAAATAAAATCCTAGAAACGATATAGATGCATCCTAGAAACTACGATAATTTCTACAAATTATCCCGACAAGATTAAAAAAAAAACAAAACAAAACAAATTTCACACAAAAAATGATGTGGATCGAATACTCATGATACAGGCATACAGCTATAAGTATAAGTATGGGCATTATTAGTATGGACCGAGCTTATGTATGGGCTCAATAACTAGACCGATTAAATTCACTTTTTTCTATCTTATTCATTGTACTAGTTTTGGAACTAACCCTCTATATATGCGTGTGTCTCACATCTAACCAAATCTTTTTCAACTGTGTAATCATATGATTGAAAAAAAAAACTATCTATAAAGCTTAAATCTTGAATTTTGTATGCTCGCCTAGCCATCTATAAGCATATGATTGAAAACTATTTTTTAAATAAAAAAATTGATTGATTGAAAAACTATTATGTGCAATAATACATCTATTACAGTCTGGTTTTAGGAGTACTGATCTAATATTGTAACCTATTATTAGTCTAGTTTGAATAACATTGTATTTTTCTTTCAACTACGTGTATCAATAATCTAGGCTTAAAGCTTAATTTTTTTTTTTAATGGCCAACAAGCATATTATTGAAAACTATTATTATGTGCAATAATACATGTATAAGAGACTATTTTTGAAAGAATCCAATAATACCATCTCAAATGCAGCTTTAACTCATCTGCATCAAAGAAGGAGGGAAATATCATGGAAAGCTTATACCACAAGTAACCTACTTTACTCTTAGTTCATTCCGTGACAAGAAACAAAACAGAATTCAAAAAGGCTTCATTTTTATGCAAAACACAAACCTGTTTAAGTTCTTTGTCGTGTCAAAAACACTAACCCTGCAAAACCCGCCACGATCAACGCACGCATCACCTGAAAATTACGGCAATATGATGAAAAGATTTCCATTAATCAATAAGCCTTGAAGCATGTTGGTTGATAAACTCACTTGTCCAACAGGTCGTCCTGAACTTTCTGACTCTGCAGAATTCTCCGACTTTTGTTTCTTTGATCGCTCTATATTCTTCCACTTGTTGTTACTATCTATTTTCGCGATGTTTATGCAGCGGAATCCCCTCTGAAAATGTTTCGGATAAACGCAGAATTTGAAATATATCATACAAAGATTGTAAAAACCACCAAAGACTACTGCTTTTGTACCTCACCGATGTTTTCCCTAGTAGACTCTTCTATCCTTTTCTGTAACATATTTGCTTCTGCTAAATCCAAATGTCTTGTTCCTAAATCTGTTTCGCAAGACAAATCCTTTGCCTCATCTGGAAATATCCAGAGACGAGATCCTCGTGCATTCTCAAGTTGAGAATCTTTCAAACACACAGATTTGTTCGGTTTCTTCTCAACATCCCTTACTTCTACCACCGAACTTCGTCTTTGCGTACTCAACAAGTCACTTCTTCTAGTGCTCTGTTCAAGACTCTTCTCCTCTATAACTATTGACCTTTCATCTCCTGAAACTATTTCTATATCATCACATCTATCTGTTTTATCTCTACACACTGACTTCTCCATATTCTCAAAGCTTGTTATCTTACTTTCTTCCGGTTTCTCTAGATTCACAGTGCTTTCCGCTTGTGGTTGCGCCTTAGTTTTCTCCTCTGCATCTTTACAAGAACCAGTTTGAATCTTTGCTGTCCGAATTTTGGTATCCTGTCAAAAGATCTAGAGACTCTTAGTCAAAAACGTTTTGAAAAACATCTTGATAACAAAGACTCATACTCAAAACCCTTTGAAATTACCTGAGTAACTTTGACCTCAAAGTTGCTAATCATTTTCCGCACATTGTTCAAACTTGTATCTGACATACTCCGCCTCATTGACTTCCGTTTAGGAATTCTTTCCGGTTTGCTCAAACCTGTATCTTCTTGCTTCACTGACGATACACACTCGGGGTTTTTAGCCTCCGTAAGCTTCTTGCTTGGTTTGCTCAAACCCTTATCTTCTTGCTTCACTAACAATACACTCTCCAAGTTTTTAACCTCCTGAAGCTTCTTGATTGGTTTGCTCAAACCCTTATCTTCTTGCTTCACTAACGATACACTTTCGGGGTTTATAACCTCTGTAAGCTTCTTGCTTGAAGAAACATCTGAAGAAGATTGTTGAATTTTCGTCTTCTCAACTGTATCTTTTACTTCAGGCTTCCACATTATAAGATTTGACGAAACCGTATCTCTATCTGCATTATTCTACATCAGGTGGAAAACTCAGTGACCAAAGACAAAATATTTTGAATTTTGTATAAACAAAACTGTATCAATATGAATACTGATAATTACTTTAAGCTCGGTTTCTTGAGACAGACCAAGATTTGTCTTTGGATTAGCAACAGCCACTATGTCTCGGGTTTGCATTGAACTTAAAGAAGACAAATCTCTCATCACATCAAGAGCAAGAAAGGCCAGAAAAAACAAACAAACATTTAGAAACACAACTTACCAACATAAACAAAAATGAAAATTCTTAGTTCTTTCCATTGATTAACCTGAAGCAATGCTCTTAGATTTGGTAAAAGAACTGCCATTGACAAGCTCCTCGTGCTTCTTTCGCAATGCCGATTGTCTCTTTCAAAGAAATCAAAACACAGTACCAATTTGTATTCATCAAGATTGGAATTTTGCAGAGCTCAATGAAACAGAACATATGATAAAAAAAAAAATAAAAAAAAAAAGACAATGAATTTGGCTTTACCAGAAAACGTATGCGATTTCGATCTTCTTCACTAAGAACAAACTGCATTTTCAATTGTACATTTCCATAGCCATTGAATGAAAGTTTCTCTTCCAAGAAACCATTCTCTATTATCATTCTGGTCTCTATCTCTACCTCCAAAAACCCTCAAATTCAGAAAAATCAAATTTGTCTAACAAAACCACCAATTTGATCTCTAGAGCTATAAAAGAACACACCTTTGTGTAATATCTGGTTTCCATTGACATCTAAAAGAGTAACAATCAAATTTTCTCGGAGCCTCGTAACTGGACTGTGCCACATTGAATCCAAGAAACAAGAAAGTGTCAATATTTCTCAAAAAGTTCCAAACTTTAGAAATTCAGAAGGGATCAGCAGAGAGATTACAAAATGTAGTCTCCTGAATCTGAAGTTCGATACTCTAGCTTCCCCATAGCAACTGATACAAGAAGACAAGTAAACTAAAAATTTGAACTTTATCAAGCTAAAAGCGATTTGAGGAACAGAGTAAAGTTAATACCTTTAATGGAAATGTTTGAAGAGCTTGGAGAAGATGTGTGAACATCAATAAGACCCAGAACTGTGGATTTTGAACAAGACAAAAGTTCAATTAGTGCTTAATGAGCTAATACGACAATGCCCGAAATCGAAAGTTTCTTCCTTTTTTTTTCTGTTACCTGAAACTTGTATAGTTCCTGGCATTTGTCGAAGGTATACACACGCAAGATTGAAAATTCGATTGGTTAAATTTGGTATTCAAGGATTTTATTTTTAATGGAATTTTTTTGTATGGAAGAAGAGAAAGAGTGAGGAAAAAAAAGGAGGATTAGATGGAAATATAAGTTTGTGGTTGGAATTAGATTTTGAATGTGGAGGGAATTGAGAGGGACCCCCATTACTGTTTCTCTTGATGAGTGTAATTAATTACTCTAAACGAACATTCTCTAAATGCCAATTTTTTGCTTTTTGCCTCATTCCATGATACATTAGTTTTTTTTTAGATTAGGTTTTTGTTAAATATCTTATATTCTCTGATACAATAGTTAACATTCTCTAAGTGCATGCTTTGGTTAGTATGTTTGTCATCTATTGGATCAATGGTCACGTGTGTGTGTGAGTAATATGTGTAAATCTGATTTAATTTGCAGTAACAAAAATAGATTAGTCATGAAATTAAATGATACTAGACCAAACTGATATTTAAAAGTAAAAGTAGTTTATATGGCCGATTCGGTGCATGATTGTTGAGCGACGAGAAATAAGACCGACGCGGACGAAGGTGGTGAGATCAAAAAGTGTCACGCCGCAACACTTAAAAGGAGTCGCCGAAATAAGTCGCAACTATCGCTGAAATATTAAGAGATCAATTATGGTTCCAAAATTGCCGCTGCGTTTCTTTTTAAAAACAGCATCATTATTTTCTGCAATATTGTGTTTCAGGTAACAAAAATACACTATTTTTTGTGTGTCGCTAACGCTGACCAGTGGCCACAGCTATTGATCAGAGCCGTGCCTATGGGTAAGAAAAAAGGCATTTGTTTCAGGTCCCCAAAATATAAACAAATTTTTAGGGCCCCCAAATCTTGAAAAATGGTGTATCAAAATGGTTTCAGAAGGACCCTGTTTCTCGTGAATAACCTTGGTTCGATTTCTCTCCCCTGTTTATTTCATATAGATTTTTTTATTCCTCTTAATGCTTTTGTTTATTCACTTTATTCCTTTTAAAACAGTTGGAACCTGCTTCAATGCTTCTACAGATTTATTAACTTAACATATACTAATTCATCTTTATAGTAGCTTTGTTTATGAATTATGATTGTGCTGAGATTGTTGGAGCACAAAAAAGACATAAGAAAGACAAAGATGAGAGAGGGGTTTGTGAAATCACAATCAGGTGATAACTATCATATCCATAGAAAAAGAACTAGTTAGGAACTTAGATTATGAGAATTTGGTGAAAGAGTTTATTAGATATATATATATATATATCTTAGTTAGATTATTGTTTTGTTTTCAACAATTTATATCGTTTTGAAATTATTTTATTTTAAATTTTTTTATTAGAAAAGCCTCTAATTTCAAGCTCGCCTTAAGCCCCGATAAGTCTGGGCACGGCACTGCTATTGATCAGCGATTGTCAAAAGTTATTTTTTTTTGGACAGTGATATTTAGAATCAAATAAGTTATGTACATTAGGAGTTAACTTATAATAGATAAATATGACACATTCATAAGGGTTTTAATATTAAATTAGTGTATAGTGAAAATTATAAATGGTTTATGCTAGATAATTAGATTTCACATTTTACATTTTTGATATGTTTATAACCTTTTTTATATACATAATCATCCATCCATGATTGGCGTCTCAAAGTACAGTACTAACTACTCATGACCCTAAATACTTATGTAGCAGAAAAGAAAAAGCAGTTCTTGATGTGAATTGATTCAGACTTAGGTCAACCCCATACATGTTTTTTAAAAAGGTATGAAAGAAATTAGTCAGATAATTGTTTTAGGGCTTTATTAGTTTGATAATTTAATGAAAAAAACTAAAAGAAAATAATATGTGGGCTTGCAAAATTTTGAAGATCTCTTCTTTTAAGTTGATGTCGTTGCCTTAAAATGCAACACAAACGTATTATCTTCTTCACACATGATCTCTTGTCTTGTATACGCATTCATATTATCCAATATCAATCATCTTTGCCCTCATCCTTTTATTTATATCTTGTGCTCATATCTTCACAAGCAATTAAATCCAATATATTCAATTCTAAAGCACTTCTAAGAAAAATCAGATAATTCAAAATATATATTTAAATTTTGAATGATATCAAATAACACTAGACATACATTTTTAAAGCCGGTCATCCATTTATGATTGAGCTAAATTGTGATGATATGTATTAAAATAAACAGATAAATAAAATTACTCTTAATTGATTATATTATTTCTCAAATCTCGTTACACAATATAAAAGATGTAAATGAACAAGGATACCCACATTATCGGGTGATTAATGTTCCATAGCAAAAAAAAAACAAAAAAAAAAAACACAACATAAACTCTAAACCAAAATCTCCATAAACATATATAGAGCTATTAATTGTCATATTAAACTCTCACACACTCTTATTATAAAATGTTTTTCTGACTCCTGATATTAGACCAACTGCAAAAACTAAATTAATCACTCCAAGATTTAACAATCAATCATTATTATGATTACTATAATCTATATATAACTATAAAAAGAAACCTTTTTTTGTAATCAGGATAATGTGATTATCTGATCAACCGTGAACCATTCCATACGACAGAGCCATGAGCAAAACAGCAGCCTCCTTCTCATCTTGTGGGAACACTTGTTGATAAGCTGAGCTTTTGCTCAACATTATTGTCAAATCATCGAAGCAAAGTTTGTTCGACGAAATCGAAGAATTGGAAGAGGTTGTTGATTTGCTGATCTCTGAATCTCTGGCAATCATCGTTTCCGCCTCCATGTCCACCTCATCTTCCTCTTTGATCTTGCACTTTTTTGCCTTGGCCACCACCGGAGGAGAGAGATTGTACTTTTCCCCTCCGTTTGATCTCTTTTTCTTGTTTTGCAACTTCTTTTTCAGCGGTAATTGTTGCATTCGGGACTCTACCGCCACCTCTTGGTCCCCGGCAGCCGCGGCCGCGGCCATAGCGGCTCGCCTCGCCTTTCTTTGCCTTATGCCACATGCGTTACAAAGTGACTGCAATAATAAATCAAAATTAGTATGTGAATTGTAGATGACAAAAAAAAAGGGAAATTTCATAGAATGTTGGACTCATGAGTATCATTGATTAAAGCATTAATGTTTAAAGGATGCATCAGTTTTAAATAAATCAAATATTATAACGTTCGTGACATATAACTATTTATTTCAAAATGTGAATTAAACTTAGTATGACATATTTCAAGAAAACCTCGAGTGAAGTAATCTACCTTGGGACCTCGAGGTCCACTTCGCCAAAGAGGAGTCTTGGTGGTGTTACAGTCCGAGCAAACCCTAATCACGCCATTGTTATTACCATAACCATTCTCGTTGATTGTATTGTAGCGGTTTTCGGTGGTCGCCGCAGTGGTCGTCCTGGTCAAGACTTTCTTGAAATTAAGATCGTCATCGTGATCTTCGTCAAAATTAGTCTTATGATTCAAAGGGTAGTGATCACTTTCTTTATGATTATTATTATTACTCTGATCAGTGAGCTGTTTATTGTTTGTGATTGTTTTCTTGATCAACCGCATCTTTGGGGACATCAACCACTTGTCGGAGTCTGAATCGGGTTTTGTCGGGTTTTGATGAAGAGGATGGGTTTGGTCTTCGTGATCTTTTTTCCTTATCGTTAGTTTCAGTCTTGTCTCCTTCTTTGGCACCATGTGATCGTATGATGATGATGATCCACCATTAGCCAGAAACATCTTAGCCTGGTATATATCAACAATCAGGGTTTATAACCAACAAGAGATGAAAATTGGATATAATAATGATATGGCTTCTTAAGATCCCTCCTTTTTAATTGATAAATTAAATTTCTCTATGTAAAATTTTCTAAATACAAATTCGGAAACTAATATTGTTGTATGAATTTTACATGATCAGGTATAATTTTAATTGCTAAACGGAAAAAGAAAGATCGTACAATAATAACATTTATACACACACAACTAAGGTTGATATATAATTATAAATATACCTTGAGGGGTTGAGAAAGATGGAGATGATCAGCATGATAAGTGTTGTTGTAGGCAACATGTTGATCTTCTTGAGCGTTGATCAAGAAAGGGAGGTAAGAGGAGAGAGACGAAATGGAAGAAGAAGAAGATGAAGAATTAGAAGGGACTTGATGATGATGATGATGAAGAAGAGACGAAGAGGATCCAAGAGGATAGAAAAAGGGTTGTTCATGATGGTTTTGATCTTCGTTAAGATCTATAGAGTAATGAAAATTCGAATCCATTGATGAGATAAACAAATGAAGACACAAAGAGAGAAAGAGAGAGAAAGATAGCTAAGATGAGAGATTGAGAGAGATCATAGACGGCAAAAAGAGTCCAAGCTATACTATGTTTGATCCTTTTTAAAGGCAATGAGATGAGACACGAGCCAAACACACATAGTTTCTATTATATACATATAATATATATATATATATATATATATATATATATATATATCAGTTTAATAAATGGTTTACGTGAGTCTAGAGTTAGGGTACTTATGTCTATGTATACATCAACTTGTACAGTAAATTTTAGAAGACATGGATAAAAATACTGTTTTTAAATCCTACTTTCGGACAAGTCCGAATGTCATACCAATGATTTAAAAAAAAAAAAATTGTCCTTTTATATGTTCTTTTCTAATTAGAAAAAAACTTTAAACTTCTATTTTTTCAAATGACCATAAAGTATTCGATCCAGTGATCTTTGATGAGTAAAGACAGTTTGGTCTTGGATTGATTTAAGAAAATGGATACAAATCAATAACTGAGCTGATCGGTAATAGTAAATGGTGATTATTTACATAAAGAAAGTTGAAAATATATGTATATGTATAATTAATTAATTTAGAGGTTCACGTGAGTCCATGGCACCCATACGAAACCAAACACATGAGACAAACTGTGTATGTGGAATGGTACTGGACGGCCCCATTCAGAACAAACCCTATCTGTAATTTCCTTACCCCACTAGAGAGACACAGAAAATTATAAAATTAAACCCTAATTTATATAAATATTGGAGAGTGAGAGCCACACAAATCATGATAATAATTGAAACAAATAAGATCATTTTACTTGTTGTCTTTTCAAATCTAGGGTTTCCTAGATCTCATCAAGGCTCTATAATAGAAAGAGAAAAAAAAAAGTCAAAATTTGGATTTCTCATGTTCTTTTCATATGTACCCCGTTAAACTAAAAATCTATTGTATTAAAGAATTACTAAAAAGGTTAGATAATTTTCAGCTTTACGAATTTTTACTAGATTTTTTAATCGTATTAGTCGAAAACCAGTTTAGAATAAATATTGATAGAATAAACTTAAAAAGGTATACAACATTCTCTTATTTAAAATGAATAGCTACCTAGCATCTATTGACAAATGTATATGTATATATATTGACAAAAGAAAAAAAAACTGAGAAACAAAAAAAGTCAATTAGCATTAAGTGAAAAACGTCATAAAAACCAAAACAACCAAAAAAATCAAATAGAAATGACAAATAGTTAGTGTTTATCTTTCAAATAAAAGTCATGATCTTCTTAAAATTCCCCTACGAGTAGTATTAGTTAGTACCTAAAACTATAGATTTTGTTGTGACAAGCCATCAATCATATAGCATGAATTGCTAAAGATCAAATAAGTCCAACACTGATTCGTTGGTTTTATTTCCGATAATCAAAGTTGACTCAATTGGCATAACAAATTCAAGATCTCTTGAAACCTTAGTTTACTAAATGTAACTCGTGATCCTTTCAAGTGCATGTGATTCATCAATAATCCTCCCAGAGGACAGAGAAAGAAATGATCCATGATTGAGAGATAGGAAGTGATGCAGAGGGAGAGGAGATCAGAGATCTATAAGAGAAGGGATAGGTTTAGAATGGCAAAGGAAGAAAACATCCCCACCTTAGTATAGCCAAACTTATTCAATTCCTTCTCATCAGATTTTACAGATCATTGAGGACCCCCACACACAAAGAGACAATCCATCTATATTTTCAAAATTTAAAATTGGCCCATCAATTTATATTTGTATATATATATATATATATATATATATATATCAATTTCTTAAGCTAAATGATCTAAGGAAAAATAAAATTGATCTACTATATTTAGTAGCTTTTTATATGGGATCAGATTATGATCTATAACACCCTATTTTCTAACACATAAGATTTGGTCAATGCATATTAGTTAGAAACGTATTTTTCAATATCACAGTATACAAAGTCGAATAAGATTTTATGCACGGAGAAAAATGATTTACGATTTTCAGATTATCTACTCTCTGGATCGATATGAAAGAGATCATAAATAGAGGATAGGAACTTCATAGTTACCAAAGATAACAATTGGTTTATGACCAAATGTCCAAATCATATGTGTTTTCCATTAGTTACACCTCGTTTAAACTACAACATTCCAAAACAAGTAAAACATTGTATATTAGTGTGCACAATAATGAAAATTATATGGATGTGAGGAGAAATCTCTTTTTTTTTTGTTTTTGATAAACGAGGATAAATTTCATGTCTTTTTTATTTTTAATTTTTAATAAGAAATTTCATATGTCTCATGTATATATTAGTTAGGACCGAAAAAATCTACACAGACGGGATGAAATCAAATGAAGAGAAGTGATATTTTGAAATTTGAGAGTTTCCCTTTACTCGTATGTCGTATAGAGACATCCATGGGGGGTTCTTAGATACTGTACCATCACATGCCAAAAAAGTCATTTGTTTTTTTTTTTTCGCCAATCTCATTTGTTTTCTTTTGAGTAACAAATTAGTAAATAATATTACTATTGTGTCGGGGAAAAAATGAAATATTACTATTGGTTAGTTTAACGGTAAGTATCCAGAGAAAGAAACGGTACATAAATGAATTGTACTCTTCATTTTTACATGACGACTTTATAGTTTGCATCACTTCTCGCAGTCTTGGGGTTTGCTTTTCAGGCTCAAAAAAAAAAAAAAAAAGCTTTTGCCAACTTTTTCATTTCTTACCAGATCGGGTCATCAGTCCATTAATCAAAACACGTTAATTCGAACGCATGAAATACACCCAAAAAAAAATGTTACCGAAATCAGTTTATCAATATGCGTAGGATAATATGATTTTAATTTCCTTTTTCTGGAGTGACGTACAATGATAGTTCTAAATTTGATGATCATGAATGACATAATAGTAAGGAAATGTTACGATTTTTGGATTTTACAATATCATAATTATGTAAAATCGTGACTTTGCTCATTTATTGGCGTTATATACTTCAGTTTCTTTAATAATAGTACATCATTCGCACATAAACATGTATATGCAATCTATTAATGCATTAACATGTTAATGAAAAACATGGAAATTAACAATTCTTGACGTCAATTATATTACTTTTGAAATACACAATTTAAAGTGGGTTCTAATGTAAAGTAGCATTACAAAATTTAATGCCAATCTACGATTATAGTTTTTTTATCATCAGCTCTATTACCATTATTGTGTTAATGTTGATAACCAATTAACCACTGTACTAACGAAATTAAAAGTTGAAAAAGAAAAGAAAAAAAAAAAGAAGAAGAAAAGAACAGCGCAAATCAGAGGTAGTTTGACCACTGTTCTTTCTCATGCATCGATAATATTATAATGTTTGACTAAGTGTTCTTTTGCTCTGTGTTCTTGAAAAGCGAGCTGAGCAGAGCCGTTGGATCATGGAAACGGAGATCGATGAGAGAAGAGATAGAGCCATAGAGGAAAGAGAGAGATCTTGGTAGGCTAGCTCTCCGAGCTCTTAAGGGTTTTGTTCTTTCAGGTTCTCAAAAAAGACAGCATGCGATCTATCAATCTCCTTCAATATTTTAACACCTGTACCTCTTTTGATGATATTTTATCATCAAAGCCGAATCTAATTTAAACTATTTTAAGTTTCGTATATACAAAAAAAAAAAAAAAAAAAGTTTCGTATATACAGAGTATTACGGCCCAAGTTTATATTCTAAATATTCTATTTATAACCCATTTATCTTTTTTTTTTTAACCCATTTATCTTAATTCAGTTTAATCTATGTTATACTCCACCAATTAAACTTTAATATTTTGTTATGACAATAAAAATGCGATGAACCATGACATGTGTATGGTAATGTGTCTTCAGCTATACATTTAATAATAATTGTAAAAAAAAAAAATTATACGTTATATAAGATAGAAAAAAAAAATGCATATATTACATCTTATTAATTTCGAAAACTTCAAGCCATTGTCTGAATTTCATAGTTGTCAACGTTAAGATGTGTCTAACAAAATTAATATCAATCCTAAACCTATATTACTATGACCACTAAACTATCATGCATCACTAAAATAGTTTAACTTGATAGATATCTAAATCGTCTTAGATACTTACATTCTTTTGTCAGGAAGTTAGTTATTTCTTCCATAAAAAGGAAGATAAGGCTTGATATGTCAATGGATATTTGATTATTGGTTGTTCAAAACAGTCTTCAGTTATTCCATATATAATTAATTTCCGGATTCTGATCGACACAGATCTGTACATAGTTCATCCCTAAAACTAACAAAATTTTATAGTACAAAGTTAAACATTATCTCCCTCGTAATTAATTATGTGGAAGACCATACTCCAAAAAAATTAGAAAAATTTTATATACTAAGAGGAACTTTTTGGAGTTCAAAGTAGAAGATTTATTTTGGTGAAATAATAGTACTATAAGTACAATTGTGTATTAAAAATAATTTTATGTTGATTTGTGGAACCAAATTTCTTGGAACCGATGTTTGATTCAAACGATCAGACATCATTGATAATCGACTTATTATTTATTGATCAAGTAACTTGGGGTTTGTAGAGGTGGTAGTACCCTTTCTTCTGAAGGGCTAGCAAGCGGAGTCTCCAAACAATTTTTAATAAAGAGTGTTCACTAAAAATCGATTGCTTTTGAAAAAAATTTCTTTATCTTTTCTTTGTCACCGATTTTTTTTTTTGTCGAGCTTTAAAAAACACTGTTAACTAAAACTTTAGATAGCCTTACGTAAACCACACACAAAGTATTCTCCACATAAAAATCGATCTAACCTAATCTCCACCCCTACTTCTTCTCTTTATAATAATAGATTTTATTGAAGAAAGAAAGCTAGATATGAACAAGATAT